GAGAGAGAGAGAGAGAGAGAGAGAGAGAGAGAGAGAGAGAGAGAGAGAGAGAGAGAGAGAGAGAGAGAGAGAGTTGGAACGAGGAGAAAGGGAGGAAAGGTCAATTATGGCATCATCGTTGACGGTTCGGGAGTTACGCGAAGCGCTGTCAAAGCGCAGTCTCGATACAACCGGCGTGAAGGCAGTGCTGGTGAGTATGAACCCCTTTTGCCTGTGTGGGTGATTATCTGCTCGGCTACCTCTCTCATTTTTCTCCCATGTCATTTTCAACTTGGATGCCCTCCCCTCCGCTCTCTTTTGTTGCGTTTCAACGTGAATGCCCTTCTCTCCTCGCTCTTTCTCTCTCTCTCTCTCTGCGTATTATTTTCTATTCTGAGTCGTGTACGTTTTGTCATTCGCCTGTTTCCAAAAACAGAATGACAATGTCCGTTATTCCCATTTTGCTGTCAGGTTGTTCCTTTTCCTTCCTTAGAAAGAAATGGCGCGACCTCTCTTCCTTAGAAGGAAATGGCTGCGACCTCTTTTCCTTAGAAAAACGGCCGCTCTGTTTTTTGCGCCTTTTATCTTTTTGAGACTTTTTCCACTCGCTCACGCCTTTCATCTTTTGGCATTCGCTCGTTCGAATAAGGGCTCGAAAAACGGACTTGGAAAAAGGCGTATTTTTAGATTTTTTTTTTTTGAAAGGGCGCCGGCGTTGAGATATATCCTCACGTTTCTGGCCCCAGGTTAGTTTGCCAATTAACAGTTCGTTTTTTTTTTTTGCCCATTGACAGATCGTTTTTTTTTTTTGCCCATTGACAGATCGTTTTTTTTTTGCCCATTGACAGTCGCTTTTTTTTTTGCCCATTGACAGTCGCTTTTTTTTTTGCCAATTGACAGTCGTAAGTACCATATTTCCGGTCCGGTACAGTGATCATGAATGTGTACAAAGCTATTTTTGCGGTCCGGTACAGTGATGATGATTTGCTCGTTGGGGGGAATTGGTTGCTCTGAGGCTTATTGCCCTGGAGAGATTGTCCGCGTTATTCTTTTTTTTCGTTTTTTTTGGGTAACCGGGGAGAATTTGGGCGTCGCTCCATTACTCACCAAAAGTGCAGAAGGAGAATGAATCTTCTGCTAGATCATGGAGAGAGACGCAGCCATATTTTGCCATTTTTGCCTGGAGTAGTGGAAAGAGGCACTTTTGTTTTTTTTTGAACTGATAAGAACAGATACTWCCCTTGATCTTTTTTTTTTTTTAAATAACAAAACGGAATGTCTCTTTGGGCCTCGCTCCATTACTTATCAAAAGTGCAAATAGAGAATAAGTTATATATACAATCAGTTATATTTATTTGTAGAGTTAGGTTGATGTATATTTAATGATTGATATAGCCAATAAAAAAAGTCAAGAATAACACAAATATTTTTTTTTCGATGCTTGYTATATTCTCAAAAGCACAAAAATAGGTTTACATAATCTAAATTGTTTTCTTTAATAAAGAGAATAGAAATTGAAGTGATTTAATTTAGAGAGGGTTGCTAACTCAATGGTAGAGTACTCGGCTAAAGGAGAATGGAATGTTGTGGCATTTTGGCCTGTAGCGAGTAGTGGAAAGAGGCGCTTTTTGTTTTTTTTTGAACTGATAAGAACAGATACTACACTTGATCTTTTTTATATAACGAAACGGGATTTCTTTGTTGATGTGAAAGAAAGGAGGCTGGGAAACCCTCCATAATAATACACTTGAGCGTAGGCAAAAGGCCGAGAAAGGTATGTGTGGTCTTTTTTTATTTTATTTTAAAGTGAGGCCCTTTTTTCGTTTTCCTGCCACTTTATTGCTATTTCTTCTGCCAAAACTTTCATCTTGTCCATATTTCTACTGTCTTTTTTTTTTTGGTTGCTATTTTTTTTCTGTCAGAACTTTCATCTTGTCCGTATTTCTACTGTCTGTTTTTTTTTGCGTATCTCCTTTCCCACTTTTTCCCACTTCTCTCTTCCTATTCGTTCTATGCGTGTCATCCTCTGGCAGGGCTCAGGCTAATGATCTATCTTTTCTGTATCGGTCCAATTTTAACGGATGTCCATCGAAGGACTTCCCTCTTTTTGGCCGTGGCTGTGATCCCGGCTTCTCTTGTCTCCGTTTCTTCCTATTTCGCTTCGTTCCTTTCACCCTCGTGTTCTTACCTTTAAACTTCCAGTCTGTTCTTAAAAAAAATCACTCCATGCCTCACTTTCTCTCTTGATGGGATATCTTTTCACTGTCTTTTTTTTTTTTTTGATATATACAACGATTTCATTGTAAGATGTCCTCTCTCTTCCGTTGCCGTTCTATTCTACTCTGCTTATCAAAACGAACTGAATTTCCGTTGTCAGTTGCTTTTGGAGTTGGGTGAGGGGAAACAGTTGAATAATGCAGCCGTCGCTGAGGATCCGTTATTTTTTCAATTATTTAGAACGATTTCCTTGGTCTATTTGATCAATCAATCAATCAATCAATCAATCGATTGATTAATCTGCATTATTTCGACCCAATCGATCGGTTAAAAATGGACCGGTCAATCAATGGATCAAAATGCATCAATGTATCAAACGAATCAATAAATCCATGAATCAATGAATCAACGAATTTTAGTAAATTGATTAACTGATCGATCGATTGAAAGAATCCTTCATTCGATTATCGATTAATCGATTAAGTAAGCTCTCAAGCAGTATTTTTTTGGCAAGCAATCAAGCACTAATTTTGCGGGCATTGCTGGTCCTTTACGTCGTTATTTACGTACGGAGATGGATGTCATTGGGAAGTCCAGTAAGCCAATATACAAATCGACGGACAAGACCATGGATTAAGTCAAATAAAGCAATATAAATATATCAAGCGTATAGAACTTCAACTTTGGCGCATACAGGTAATAATGGCAGTCGAATCTGCACTGCAGTATGTGATCTCTCGACATACTATACTATTAATACCCTACAGAAGTCGGCCACGATGGAAACGTATCCTAGGATTTTAATTTTTGGCTTCTCGAATAAGTCATTTTCCGACTCATTTTCAATATCGAAAACATAATTGCGTTTCGCTTAAATGTAACGCGCATTCGATGAATGGGAACATTTGGATGGTTGTTAATGAATGTTTGGATTAAAAAAAAATAATAATAAAAAATAAAAATAAAAATATTGGTTTAGCTCTGTTTATAGTATTATGATCTATATGATCTATTCATAGTTATGAACATGTAGATGATAAAATAGGAAAATATAAATCATCTGACGGATAGAAAAGGATTAAAGAATTCGGTAAGGGCGCAAGAGAAACTTGGAGTGGTGGGCCTGTGTTTTTCGTTGATGTCTGTCTTTATAGGGTAGCCCTGTCGGCCGTGGCTGAAGAGGTGGCGGGGTGCGTTTTTCGTTGATGTCTTTTATTATTTTCATTAAAGTCTTATGATTGTTTAAAGAGGATGGAAGGCTTTGGCATGTCTTCGTTGATCGCACCGCCCTTAGGTCATTCAGAATGGTTTAATATTCCAGTCGTCAAGATCCAGCAGGATTCGAACTCAGTTCATGGGTGTACCAACTGAGCTAGGCTCATTGATGTCTTTCCTGTGGAGCGATCGTGTTTTTCTTAAATTTTTAGTTGGGCCACGGCAACGAGTAAGGTAAGCATGCGTGATTGCCACATTTGGACTCAGTTTCCTCTTCTGTGGACACTGCAAAGAGCGCGCGTTCTCATATAGAAGAGATTGCTGAGGTATGTTTGTGTGCGAGGAAAGCTCAATGAAGTTGTTTTATTTCTATGTAGCGAGTTGGTGGAAGTCTGACGATAATCTTCACAGTCCCCGTTACTGTCCTACATAATAATATACGTGTCTCTGAGTGAATGAGTGTGTGTGTGTGTGTCAGACACGGAGAGAGAGAGAGAGAGAGAGAGAGAGAGAGAGAGAGAGGTGGTTGAAATGCTCGAACGTATAGGTAATAATTGGCAGGGTCGTTTTTTTTTTTTCTATGCATACGTGTGTCTGTGTATGTGTGGGGAGAGAGAGAGAGAGAGAGAGAGAGAGAGAGAGAGAGAGAGAGAAGGGAGTTTGCTTGAGGTGTATGCGAAGAGAGAGAGAGAGAGAGAGAGAGAGAGAGAGAGAGAGAGAAGGGAGTTTGCTTGAGGTGTATTCGAAGTCAGGTTGATCGTATCTCTCCTTTTCTGGAGCAATTGATACCCGGGCGGCCGGGCCTACGGTTGGTCAGTAAGTGTCCTTGGTCTGTGTGTGTGTCTGTATGCGCTTTTGATCTCCAACGAGCGACTTTTCAATTATTTCTAGACGTAATTGAGGTCGGATACATGCCAGTCGGCGTTAAATGCGGTAAGATACATTTAAGATGGAGCTAGCGTGCGTACGCCCTGAGTTATATATAAGTCTCTTATCCTTTACGGCACAAGAGGGGGACGACGTGTAGTATTCGGAGTAATCCCTGGGGTATGCGTACAAATTGAGGGAACTGGTGCCAAGGAGCGTTATCATACAAAATAAGCTCGCTAGCTGCAGCCTGTTTTCGTTTTTCTAGAAATAGAACTATATATATATGTTGTCCTCTTCTCTCTCTGTGCCTACGGTTTACCGGGCAGTTCTGTTTGTGACGATATATACGATATATTGTGACGATATATCGTATATATATATATCGTCATAAATAAGCTCGACAGCTGCAATCTTTTTTCGTTTTGGTAGAATTAAAAGTATAGAAACTCGGACGAAACAGTTTGTCACAGCCCGCGTTTGTTGTCCTCTTCTCCCTCTATGCCTACGGTTTACTGGGCAGCAGCTCTGTTTGACTATAGATATATAAATATATATCACTCGGGCCTTTTTTCTAATTTTAACTGAATATGCCTGCATCCGCGGCCAGGTACATTCTTGAAAGCTCAGTGGCGAGATTCCGTTCAATTTCTCACACCAGTTGAAGACGACAAGCGGAAAAGAACGTGTTTAGGCCATCAACCCTACTGATGGCTGCGTTGATTATGTAATCCATGATAGTAGTTCCTTTCGCTAGCGGAGAAAAATGGAATGGTAGCGCCTTTGCGACGTCTTCTTTCACTTTTTTTCGCCTCTTTTGTTTCCTTTTTTTTTTGATAAGATGGACATAACATCCATCCAAAATTTTTTTAATACGATTTCAACTGGCTAATAATACTTTTTGCGGTTGTC